GCGCGAACCTGAGGGATGCACGACGCCCATCGAGGATCATCCGCAGCGACCCGTTCTTCTTGCGCACGAAGAACATGCCAGCGTAACACTCCGCCGAGCTGTAGAAGTCAACCAGCCCGGCGTCCATAAGCCGCACCACCATCGAGTAGAGGCGCGGGTTGCGGAGGGCTGGGTCCGTGTAGAGTCGTCTCGGACCTGCCTCTCTGATGCGATCCATCCCCAGCTGTCGGGGCAGGAGTAACTCTTTCAACCGATGAGCGATATTCTGGCCTGCCATCTCGTCGATCGTCTCCAGGGCGGCGGGTCGGCTACCAGCAGGAGGCAATGAGATGGAGTCGACGAGGTCGAAGCTCACCGGGGCAACCAACGTGGCGTCACCCTCGTATGATTGAGATATCCGGAGCTCCTCAAGGGCTCCTGGACCGTCCAAGCCCTCTGGGCACGGGCCAAACCTCACCGCGGCCTGGCGGAGCTCCGAGAGGACGAGGGCGTGGCCAGCTGCAGGCGCCGGCGTGCCGGCGGGCGCTTGACGGCGCGCCGCCGGCGGGCAGCCCCAAAGCTCGTTCAGCGCGTCGGTCATCTCGTCGACCATGCCGTGAACGTGGGACCGTTTCTCAAGGCGCCTGCGCACTGACCTCGATGGCAGGGTAGGCGTAGAAGGAGATGGGGCCCCAGCGCCAAAATAGGGCAAAGGAAAGAGATCACGCTGGCGAAGATCGGCGCTGGAGTTTGAAGCCTCATGTACAGGTAGATCTGCTGCACCCGCGAGGCCCACGGGCGCCCCCTCTCTCGACCTGGCAGGCTCCTGGGCGAGGGGCTCCCAGAAGCCGTCCGCGTTGCTCATGATGACAGAGCGCGACGCTCCTCTCGGGCCTTCCTGATCTGCTTCAGGATCCCTGCGTCGCGCTCCACCTGCTTGGAGACATGCTCCAGTAGTAGCGGGCAACTCATCGAGCGGCCGTCCTCCTTGGCCGCCCCGGTGAACACCGCAGCTTCGTCCACGATGCCGAATCGGTGAAGCCCTCCTCCACGCCCTCGGCCCCTCTTCTTGCCGTCGCCGTCGTTGCCGTCCTTGGAGCCCCTCGACTGCTGAGCCTCGAACTCCATGGAGTAGATGTACTCGTAGAGCTGCGCCTGTCGAATGGCCAGCTCCGCCCCGACCAGGTCGGGGAGGTTCACCTGATCCCAGCACGCGAGGTGCTCTATCATCTTCATGATATTCTCGTAGTGGGCGACCCCGTAGTCCTCCTTCGTGAGGTGGTAGAAGGACACGAAGCTATTGTAGTGCTCCACGGGGCCGCCCCTCTTCCTGTCGATGAACTGTGCGCACCACAGCATGGTGCGAGGACCGTCGAGCAGCCACCCAGGGATGATGTTCTCCACCATCATCGGCACCGCGTCGCGCCACGCCAGACGCTGCCTGGAGCCGTCAGGCCGAGGCGGCACGCCCAGCAGCCTGATGTCCGCCCCGCTCTCGGCGCACCGATACACCGAGGGGTCCATCGAGATCCGACGGATGGCGACCCAGCCCGCGTTCAGCTGGATGAGTCCGATGTCCCCTTCAATCCGCTCGGTCCCGTTGAGCTGCACTACGTCGCCCCGATTGCCTCCACCGGTGCTCTCGATGAGCACCCAGGCCGGGGCCGGCCCCACAGGCGGTCCAGCCGCGCCTGCCTCAGCCGGCGGCGGACCGCCAGCGGCGCCCGCTGGGGCGCCCGCAACAGGCACGGCTGCGCCAGCCGCGAGGCCCGCTGCAGGGGCAGCGGCGGCGCCGGCGGCGGCCGCGATCGCCAGGGGCGCAGCAGGCGCCGCGCCAGCGGCGCCTCCACCCGCGGGCACGAGAGCGGCAGGGCCTGCGCCAGGGACGCCTGGTCCAGGGGCTGCTGCAGTGAAGTCGAACTCCACGTAAGAGCCGCCCGCTGGGAGCACGCGCGGTCGGCCAGCGGCGCGCTCTCGATCCAAGTACAGCTCGTCCGCTACCTGAATGAGAGCGTCCTGGATGGCGACCGTCTCGCGCCCGTTCAGCTCCCGCCTGAAGCGGTAGAGTAGGTTCGGGTCCACACCCTGGAGCGCCTGGCGAGTCGGGCTGAAGACCACAGTGACGATATCTGGATTGCTCCGACTGTACCGCTCCTCGTACACGTCATGGTCAGCACTAGAGATCAGGAGGTCCAGCGGGTCACTGCTCCCCGCTGCTGGATCCGCCAATCTGCCCCAGACCCTCCGCTGGTGCCAGAGCCGCTCTCCTCGATTCAGCACCCAAGCCCAGCGCAGGACGCCGGGCGGTGGCGGCACTGTGGCGGCCATGGCGACGGCACACGAGGCCTTTCACGAGACTGACAATGCCGCGCCAGAGCTGGATCGTGGCCAGGACCACGTGGCCCAACAGCAGCGCCGCCCAGCTCCAGAAAGAACTCGAAGGCGGCTCCGCCGGCGCTGGCGCCGGCTCGGGTGCCGGTGGCGCCGCGGGCGCCGCCGGCGGCGGGGGCGGCGCAGGGGG